AGTGCCCTGGGGGCCGGGACGAGGACGCGACGGGAAACACCCGACGCGGGGCAGTGACAAGCTGCGCGGGTGCCTCCTGATGGGCGAGCTGGCGCCCGCGGCAGCAGAAGTACAGAAGTGCAGGGGACACGATCGGAAAGATGCGTTCCTGAAGTTAGAACTAAGAACAGAGTCCGCCTGTGTGAGGGCGGGGGCCGACCCACTTCGGGGCAGGTGTTAGGAATTGTGACAGAGGAGGGCTGTCGTGCCCTCACACCTGAGGCTAGAAGGTATTTGCTTGTTGGCTTCGATTTTGTGACACCCTCTTGCACGTTTTGGGAGAGCCTCAGCCTGGGGTTTGACAACCACTCGCTACCTCATTTCTTCTGCAGAAACTCGCCACTGAGTCACTGGGTGTGGGGGAGGAGGGTGGCGCACGTTCCCCTTGACAGGCCCTTAATTGATGCGGGGGTGGGCACGGCCCCACCCTGTGACCTGTGAGAAGCCTCTGAGGGATGGGGTGGGTGAGGCTGCAGCTGGGGCAGAAGTGGAACCCTGGGGCCCAGCACTACTTAACAGCTATATTATTGTCACTTTAGGTGACATCAGCTTGTGCAAATGGGGTCCCCCTCCCAGCACTCCTGCTTCCCCAGTGAGTGAGCTCAGCCCTTGGCCTTGAGGAAGGGAGTGGCCGCACCGGGTGTTTTCTTGGGAAGAGAGCTTGTCTGGGTCTCTCCCTGTGTTCTGCAAACAAGTGGGCCACTGTGGGAGAGCCCGAGATGGGAAATCGGAAAGCTGAGCGCTCTGCTCTGCCCCTTTATGACCTCAGGCTGATTACTCCGTGTCTGAAACTTGATTTTCGAAATGTTGCATGCAGACTCTTCAAAAGTTGCTCTGACTTTAAGAGTGGAATTGAAGGCATCCTTGAGAGCAGAGAGAAAGAAAAAGTGAAAAGGTGGCTTTCTAGTTTTCAGTTGAGGCCAGCATGATGAACTGTGAGAGATCAGCCCCTGCCTGTTGCCTACAGAATCTCAAAGAATAGTTGACATTCATCAAACATGCCCGGCTCCCCAGGCTCGGGATAGACTCTTCACTCCTGAGCTCGCTCCTCTGCAGACCTTCCGGTCTGTCAAAGGACTTCCGCAAGACCAACAGCTCATCTGACAGGGCAGGGTTTGAACTTAGGTCTGCTGGCATCCAGCACTTGGTTAGGTACATGTGGCATTTGTGATGTTCGGAGCTCTGGTCGGTGTCTATCCAGGGACAAGGTGGGACTAGGCCTGTGGAATGAGCAAAAGAAGCCACCAGTTTTGTGCCATGTCCCCCCACCCCCCTAGTGCTCTGGGTTGAAGATGGTAGGACCCAAACTAGGCTTGCATGATGGCATACACATGCCCGTAATCCTAGCCTGTGGGAGACCAAGGCAGGAGGAGCCTAAGTTCAGACCCAGCTTAGGCAAGGTACACCCTGTCTCAAAATAAGGGGGGGCGGGGAGAGGGGTGTGAGGATGCAGCTTAGTGCAAAGGCTAGGTTCGTTCAGTACTCAGTACTGTAGAAAAACATGGTGGGACACCTGTTCCCTTTCTCTCGGGATCATAAATCATAGTTACCCCTCCTCACCCCAGCAGAGGTAAGGGTCAGATGGTAACTAACACTGTCCTGTCTTTTCAACTTCTCTTCCTTCTGAAAGGACTGGCCTTCTTCCTCTTGCTAACAGCAGTGTGGGGAGGCTAGCAGCCTGTGACCCAGAATGGGCTTTGCTCCCCCTCACCATCTCCTTGGGTCCCTTATTTTTTCCAGCCTGGGTGGCTCTGCTGGCTGAGGGCCTCCCCTAAGTTCTGCAGGCAGAGGAAAGCTAAACACTTATAGCCTCCATCTTGGGGTAACAGTTACTAGAGGGTTTGTCCAGGAGGGATTCCAGTGCAGAGTGGGTGGTCTGACCCAGGGTCACCCCCAGAGACAACACCCAGCCCTTAAGAGAGCCTCAGAGAGGAAGGGGTGCCAGGCAGCTCCAAAGCCATGGTGACCGTCACAGGTTTCCTGGTTTACTCCGCCTTGGCCAGTGAGTCAGCAGCACCAGCTTCCTGCCCCAAGAGGGCTTCTTTCCTCCAGACCTGGAAAGCCCAAGGAGCTGGGTGACCTTTGTTTGGGGGGGATGCTGAATTCATCTGCTCTGGAGGTAAGGTTGAGGGAGGGTCCCCCAAAAGGCCTGCTGGGGAGTGAGTGATTCCCTACTTAGCACTTGGTGGAGGGTCCGGGCCAGGTACCCAGTCAAGTATTAGGGACAGGCTGGGGGACCTGGAGCAGATAGCTTTACTTGAAGTTGGTTTTCTCCTGCGTCCAAAGGTAGAAAAAACCCTACTCTCGGAGCTGGGGTGCAGCTCGGTGGTAAAGTGCTTGCCTGGTACGAGCAAGGTTGTGGCTTCGGTGGCCAGTACTGCAAAGAAAAACAGTCTCCCCTTGGGCCACATAAGATTCATTACAAGGAAGGGCTGAGGGATTTCAGGACCAGGACTCTGGTTTGCAAATGCGATTCCCACTCCTAACAGCATTTCTGCAAACAGCCACTCTTCTCTGGGCAGTGCAGAAATGAAAGGAGGGCAGGGACCTTGCCTGTGGCTAGGATCTGGTCCACAGGGCTCCTGGCCAGAGGGGACCCTCAGAGGCCTTGCTGCGGGCCATCCACCTTGGGTTTCCTTGGGCGCTAGACAGCCAGCCTGGGCCTGACCCTGTCCCCCACTGGACCGCGGCAGTCGGGCCACAGGGGAGGGCGGCAGGCTGTAACGTTGGCCTAAGCAGATGATAACTGGGAAGGTCAGCCTGCTGCCGTAAACAAAATGCTTTCCGTGACCTGGGATCAATTATTTTTGGATTATCTGCCTCCTCAGGTTCTCTGCCCGCCAGCACCCTTTTGTTCCCAGGGTCCAGAGCTGGTTCACAGGTGCCAGGGAGTTGGAAGGGAATGCTCAGATCATGAGACTTCACTGAGCAGGCGAAATCGCTGTCCCTAGTCTGCACTCTCCCTGGAGTGATCATCGCGGGTGTGATGGATGATCGTGTTCTCGCTCAGGGCTGGCCTCTGGGCCACAGCTGCACACGCCAGCATCTTCCTGCAACCTGGTGAGGTGGGGGGTCGGACTAAGTGAACAATTGGCCCAAGGTCACCTGCCTAGGGAGCCACCAGAGCCTTGTGACTGGTGTTGGAAGAGAGCAAGCCTCAGAGCGGTGGGAGGGCAGAGGAGAAGCTGATTTCCAGCAGAACAAAGTAAAACAGGGACCCAGCCTGATCTGAACCCAGTTTGTGTTCACATCCCAGCTATGCCTCTTAGGACTGCTGGACCTTGAGGAAGTCACTTACTCACTCTGTTTCCTCATCTATAAAATGGGGCCAGCGAGGCACGGCAGTGCATGACTGTAATCCCAGTACCCCAGAGGCTGCCGCAAGTTCAAGGCCAGCCTAAACTACCTAGCAAGACCCTGTCTCAAAAAAAGAAAAATAATAATAAATAAAATGGACTAACAGGGCTAGGTTGAGTGCTTGTGTAGCATTGAGGAGGCACTGGGTTCAATACACAGCACTGTAAAACAATAGTAATAAAACAGGTAAAATGGGGTCATAATAGCAGCTCCTTGGAGTGAGAACGGGTGTGTATTTGCGGAGGACTTACAGTATCTGACCAGGGAGCTGACCACCCTGTTCTCATGGTGTCCAGACTACTGTCTGAGTGTGAGCGGAGTGAGGGGTGTCTGGCTGAGCCATGGGATGGTGGAGTCACCAGCTTGGAGAAGAGCCCTCTGGTCGGGAGGAATGGCAGGACAGTTACAGAGAGAAGTGAGGTGGTCCTGGGGTAAGGCTGGGGAGCTGGAGTGACCAGGCTCATGGGAATGAATGATGGAGGACCCTGATTGGGTATTGAGGAAGCTTGAACGCTTGTATAGGCAATAGGGAGTCATCAAAGGCTGTAGACAGAGGGGTTGTATGAATTTATAATATCGATGGCGATTACTGTCATTGGTTACTGAATCTTTGTTGTGGCAAGCATGAGTCTGAACTCTTTTCTTTCAGTTTTACTTAATCTGTATAACAGCTCTTGAAAGTAGGTGCTCTAGACAGGAAAACAGATGGTCCTAGAGGCTCAGGTCTCTCGCGTAGGACTCAAGCTTTGGTCTGTCTGATTTGGGGCCTTTTCACTCTGCCCCTCACCCCCTTAGCTCGTTGAACACTGAGCCTTTGAAGTCTTCCAGATGCTGGATTCCCAGTGCTCCATTTGTGTGCTGGGCTTCACGTAAATGGAATTTTGCAGAATGCCAGAGAGAAGGGTGCTGTCCGCCCCGCAGAAAAGCCTTTGTCCAACTTGTGGCCAGTTTCAGGACCTCTCAGCTAGAGAGGGGTGATCCCTCCCACTGCCCAGTCCCTGCTGGCGAAGGAGGATCCTGAGCAGGATTCCTAAGTGGCACTATGGTGACAGCTCGGGGGGTGTTCCCTCCTTGGAGGAAGAAAACTGAACAGCAAGTTTGAACAGGATCAGCAGATTCCCCTCCAACTTCGGGCCATCCCAGCAGACAGGGCCACAGGTGCTTTGCTTTGGGACACAGGGCTCTGAGTGGGGCTCAGCTGCTTTTTTCAGTAAAGGGCAATGCTATCTCTGTGGTACTGTCTCAGCCCTGCCGCTGGCCTTAGAGTGGATGTAAATTAATGAGCATGGCTGTCCGCCAATGAAACTTTAAAAATTAGTCTGTGGACCCCTGGTCCAAGCTGTGGTCTCCAAACTGTGTGCTGAGAATCGAACCCAGGTTCTCAAGACTGCCAGGCAAGTGCTCTACCAATAAGCTAACCTTTGAGCCCAGAGGCCTATCAAAATTGTTAGCTTTGGAAGGGTGAGATGGTGCACACCTGTATAGCCCTCAGGAGGCTGAGTCAGGAAGATTGCCGCAAATCTGAGGCCAGCCTGGGCTGCACAGTGAAACCCTGTCTCAAAAAAACAAACAAAAACAAAAAACAAAAAAAAAAAAACAACTTATTACTAGCCTTACTGATTTATATGATCAGAAATTACATATATCCCAGGTGTAGTGGCACACAACTGTAATCCCAGGCCCTGGGCAGCTGAGGCAGGAGGATCGCTTCACTTCAAGTTTGAGGCCAGCCTGGATTACACAGTGAGATCCTGTCTCAAACCCTGTTCCTCACACAAAAAAATTACAAGCTGGGTATGGTAGTGCACTGTAAGCCCAGCACTCAGGAACCTGAGGTGGGAAGATCACTACAAGTTTGAACCCTGCCTGGGCTACAGAGTGAATTCAAGTCTCAAAAAAAAAAAAAAGAAAAAGAAAAAAAAGAAAAGAAAGAAATTACATATGCATCATAATAAAACACCCTGTAATTATAAACACACATAAAAATAAAAATGGAACAGTTGAAAGTAGCAGATGAGCTACTATGTCACGGGGACTGGGAATTCAGCTCAGTGGCACCATACCTGCCTTGCAAGCGCAAAATCCTAAATTCAATCCCTGATACCAAAAAAAAAAAATCATGCCATGGAAGGTCTAATAAAATCTCCCACTTCCCAAGGGGTCTTTGGGAGACCCTAGGGTGAACTATGTGAAGGTCGGGCCTTTCCTGCGCCTCTTCCTTCGGCTTTCTCTTACTAAGGCCCCCAAGGGAGAGTAGAGGAAGCAAATGTAAGTCCACCTTAGGACAGGATTGGGAAGCGTGGCGAAGGGGAAGCCTTGATTGAAGGCACTTATCACATATAAAAATGTTTACTTATTAGTGCCATGTCTCAGTAGCCCCCTTCTTAGGGACTGAGATACTGCTTTTTGTTTTGCTTTGTTTTTTGAGACAGGGTCTAGCTATATGGTCCAGGCTTACTTGAACTCTGCTAGTATATAACGCAGGCTGGCTTTCAATGTGTGACAATCCTCCTGCCTCAGCCTTCCAAGTGCTGGTATTATTGGCAAGTGCCACCACACCCAGTGAGATCTTGCTGTTTTTTCCTGAATTATTTCCAGTAGAGCCACACGACCCTTGACACAGTGACTTTTCCGCCAATGAATAAATGCCATGGTATTCACCTGGGAGGCTGGGGACAGCAGTAACTTGTAAGATAAAAACCTTCAAAAATCAGAATTATCCCAAAGAAGAGCAAGTCTCGGGCTGAAACTGAGCCTGGCGGTGCAACCTGTATTCCCAGCACTCTGGGAGGCTGAGGCAGGATCGCAAGTTTAGACTTAGCCCAGGCGACTGGGTGAGCCTCTGCAAGATAGAAAAAAAGCCTAAGCCTGACTTCCTTCCTCCATCTACAGATTCACCTCGTTAGTGGCTTATGACATAGATTTGGTGAGTGGCGGCCAGCATTTTTGTAAATGCCCTAAGGAATGAAATGCCAGCTGCACTCTCCCTGAGGACAGGCGGTGTTGGCATGCTTCAGGCGTGAGTGGTGCTTGGTGGTAGCTTTGTGTCTGTTATAAATGTGTGTGTGTCTATTTATAGGAATGTTTGGAGCACGGGACTGGCGTGGTCAAGAGAGTTTGTAAATCGCCCTCTCTTAACAGATACTTTGCGATTGAGGTGGGGCTGGCCGGCCGGGATGCTCTGGGTGACCCAGGGACTGTGGCTGGGGAGAGAAGCTGGACTCTCCAGTTGCAGGTGCTGGGGTTGGGCCTGGGCATCCGGTGCCCGGGTCTCCCCAGGCCCAACACAAGTGAGGAAGGGTGGGTGGCAGAGGCCTGGCAGAGCCAGCCAAGTCCCATCACCCTCCGCCTTCTCTCTGGCTGGGCTTCCTGTGGCCCTGTGGCCCTCAGGCCCCTGTGGCAGGTTCAAGGAGGCCCCGGGCTGTGCTGGGAGCTGTTTATTTTAGGTTAACGGCCTGCTCTCAGGCTATATTTACCTTGTGAAGCTGTTTGCAATCTGATCTGATCCAATCTCTGGGACTCTGCTGGGGCCCTGGAGTCAGCTGCCAGACCAGTGAGGCCCCCTGCCTTGACTGTCCCATCCAGGAGTCCGGGGATTCTGGAGAAAGCAGCACCTTGGATGTATGTGAAGCCTTTTCATCAAAGTCCATGATTTACACCAAACCGTTGCTTTCTCCTCACAGAATTGCATCTTTGGGAACGGTGGGGTCTGGGAGGGGGTGGGGTGCCCCCGTCAGCAGGCAGCAGCACCTTCCTCCTCTGAGAGCCCACCCGCCCCTGCCCGAGGTGGGTGTTCCAGCAGCTGCGACTTCTCACCCTGGATCCCACGGTGTGACAAGTGGTTCGGGTTGAGGTGGCTCTGGCCCAGTGGGGTGGGACACACATTGCCTGTGTGGAGTTGGGGGTGGCACGGAGGAGCCTAGGCTAGGGGCCAGGACCAGGGGGGACAGACGGTTCACCTTCTCCAGCCTGGGATCGGAACTGGGAGCTGTTTCCCTTCCGCTTCAAGCTCTGTTTTGCTTTTTAACTAAGATTTATTGAGTTTCTCCTAGGGCTGGCTTGTGCTAAACATTTACACTTCAGAACCTCATTTAACCTTCCCAGTGACTGAAGGAAGCGCCCCATGACCCCCATTGCACATAGACTTTATTTTAGTTTATAGTACAGGTAGTGGATTTGAACTCAGGGCCTTTATAGTAAGCTACATCACAATCCTTTTCTTATTTTTTACTTTGAGACAGGGTCTCACTAAATCCCTTAGTTGCCCAGACTGGGCTTGAACTTTCAACTCTCCTGCCTCAGCCTCCCAGAGCGGTGGTATCACAGGGCTGTACCACATGTAAATGGACTTTACAGTGGCTTTGACTTCAGGTCCCCCCTTCAGTAGGGAGATAACCCTTTGGACTGCTGGTCTCACCTCTTCAGAGTCTCAGTGTGTTCATTTGTGAAAGAATAGTACAATAGAGCCACGTACGCTGGCCTATCAACACCTGGGAAGCTGAGGCACAAGTCCATGCCCAGCCTAGCCGATTCAGCAAGGCCCTGTCTCAAAATAAAAAATGAGAGAGGAGCTGGGGGTGTAGTTCAGTGCAAAGGCCGTGGCTCAATACTCAGTACTGAAAAGGCGGGAGGTTATGGTGATGGTACTGAGAACTGTGGGCTCCGTATTTATGCCCGGCCTGGGGGCGTCTTTGGATGCTCCTTTGCAGACCCGCACCTGTGCCTGAGGGGGCGGCTGGGATGTGGCGCCCGGCTTGGGAGGCCTTGTGTACAGGATCCCCGCCGTGGACACCCCACCCAGAGGCTCTGACACTTTAGGAGCTGCTGAGTACCAACGACTTGGAGCAGCTGGGCCCAGGCCTCTCTCTCCTGCTTGTCTTCTCTGGGGTTTCAGGTTCCAGGACCGCAGGGCCAAAACAGGAAGAGGAAGCGCGGGGGCGGGGAGGTGGAGAGGCAGAGAGGCCAGGCCGTTCCCAGGTGAGGGCAGGGCTGGGGGCATGCGGGGTGCCGCCCTAACCTGCCTGCTGCTCCCGTCCTTCACCCGCATGGACTGAGAGTTCTCAGGGCTAGGGTTATGCCACCAGTGATCTTAAAAACAGTCAAAATCCTGATGGCACTCCCCCAAATTTACATGAGCTGGAGCTGTTTGGTAAAGTTCCAGGCTGCCAGATATGTATCTTCTCTTCCTCAGTTGTGAGGCTTTTTTTTTTTTTTTTTTTTTT